GGGGGGGGAGGGTTGCATGTGGTGCTACTGACTTCATGGCACCGTTATGCCCCCTCCTATCCCAAAACGAAGTGAGTCAGGCAGGACGCACTGGAACGCAGTCTTTATGGCGTGACTGGGCCCTGACAACAGTATTTTTAAAACAAGAATGATTTATTTTTTTTAGCATGTATTTTCCTTTTTTAGGCTGGGTTCACACCTGGGCGGTTGTAATATGCGCGTCAAACGCACGTTTTTGGCCGCATGGTTTTTGCACGTTTTTCTGTCCACGAAACGCGCATTTGACGCGCGTTTTACAAAATCTAATATGCGGAAGTCAATGGATCCGCGCGTAAATCCGCCCCAAAGAAACTCAAGTACTATTTTGAGCGTTGGGCGTTTTTCAGCGCTTCGATCAGCACTGAAAAACGCCCAGGTGTGAACGCAGCCTTAGGAGGGGTGCTTCACTTACCTGAACTCCATGCACCTGCTGCTCTTCACCCTGATGTTATTGGCCTCCTCCAAAGTCTCTGCAAGTCCATGGCACCGGGCAGGCTCTTTCTGTGCAGAGAAGGAAGTGGTGCTGCTGGCACCCCATTCTCCCTGTGAGGCAGTGACAGATGGGGGGGGGCGGAACTTGTGTGGAGGCTGCGGGCACCCAATTCTCCCCACGAGGCCGGTGTTCTGTCGACACGGCAGTGGCCGATGGAGCGGGGGCGGGGCTTGTCCTGAGGCCGCGGGCACCGACCCCATTTTCCCGGCGAGGCCCACAGTGGCAGATGGGGAGTCGGCAGGGCTTGTCCTAAAGCTGCGGACACCCCATTCTCCCCGCAGTGGCGGAGGGGGCGGGGCTTGTCCGGAGGCTGCGTCCGGTGTTTGATCGATCACCGGCACCCCATTCTCCCCGCGAGGCCCGCAGTGGCAGATGGGGGAGGAGCGGGGATTTGCAGAGGCCGCGGGCGCCGCATTCTGCCCGCTTGGAAATCGTTGCAGCTAAAATCTGCAGAGGCGAGTTAGGCGGCCGCGAGGCCCTCGTAAGCGCGAGGCCTTAGGCGACCGCCTAACTTGCCTAATTAGAGAGCCGCCTCTGGTCACACGCTCAGCAGACAGCAGAGCCGCTCAGGATCAGGCTAAGAGCTGTTCCGTTACTAGCGGCTCTCAGCCTGGGATCACATCACAATGTGATCGGTGGAGTTCAGTGTGACCTTCGCTGATCACACTGTAAGCAAACAGCCATGGAGGATCTGGGAATGAATCCTTTCACAGATCCTCCCATTGGCTACAAATCACTGCACTGTCATTGGACATTGCATTCAGCACCAGTTTTTTCAACGTCACTAATCTCAGTTGCCACCAGCAGTTTCCGCATTCCTAACCGCATCCAACGCAGGCGTTTCACTGACTGTATCCACTGCATGTGTTTTCGCAGTCATAGTCACAGCTATTGCTGGTGTTTCCTATGCCTCTTAGCAGATACCTTGGGGTGTCTACTTTCCAAAATGGGTTGTTGAGTGAAAACAATAACAGTTACTGCAGGCAAGCCTGGCTGATAGCATAGAGCATATAACATACAATCAATCTCGGCTTCTGTACAAAGGTGAGTTTACTGGCTCTTTATTGCGTATACAGCGGTCATGTAGGTAAGCCCGTAGGATGTCGCGTAGATGTGCCTTTCACAATTACAGAGCCTAGAAATATGGCTATAAAATCACTGGACATGTGACAATAATGCTGGACATTTTTGCTTGCTAACCACTTATAGGGGTCAAGGGTATTGTTGTCAATCACTGCCTTTTGCATTTAATTGCAAGACTGCTCAAATACATGTGTTCCAATGCAAAACTCCATGAAAGGCTGGGTTTGATCTGCTTAGCTCGCAATGCAAACACATCCCAATAGAACCTGCTGGGTCCAAAGAAAGAAACCTAAAACAGGTCATATACACCCCAAGGACTGTCATCCACACTGCACCATTAAAGTGAATGGGCATCAGGTGACCTGCATTTTAGGTGTGCTTCATGCCATGACAAAATCATAAATTCATCTCTTTACAAACGCCCTTAATGTATTAACCAGTTGCCGTCTGCCCATTGTAAAAATGTGGACGGGAGGCGGATGCTTCCCATCGGGTGGATGTACATGTACGTGATTTTTCTTCTGCTCACGGGCACCTCCTAGCGGGGACGTGTACAAAAAGGGTCCCGCTGGGAATCTAAACAGCCGGTACCGGCTGTTGCACAGAAGCGTTCGGCCGGCTCTACAGCCGGCCAATCGCTTGTATGACTGCATGTAATGTGTGTGTTCCCCCCCCCCCATTGCCGCGCTCCCTATCTATTGCCGTGCTCCCCCCTCCACAGGTTATCCCGGGCTCTGCTGCCCCTTCTGCAAACCCGGGACTGGCACAGCAGCTGCCTTTAGAGAGAACGGAGGAGAGATCAGCATTTCCCCACCGCTGATCTCTCCTTCATTCTCTCTAAAGGCGGAAGCGATGTGTATTACATCACTTCCACCTTTTAGCTTGTCATTTCTCTGGCTGCCGTAGCCAGATAAGAAGCCGGTGAAGCAGATCTCTGCTTCTTTGGGGTTCCCTAGGTGACATTAGGGGTCTTAGAGATCCCTGATGTCTCCATAAAGAGGACCTGTCATTGTATATTATCTATCATGTAGGGGGCTTGTTAGTCCCCTATCTGATAGCATAAAGAGGACCTGTTTTAAGTGTAAAAGGAAAAAAAAAAAGTTTTTTTAAAACAGACTTATTAAAAAAATAAATAAAAAGCACCCAAAGAATATGTCCCCCGCCCCTGCGTTCACACACACATAAATGTAAATATGCACTTTTTTCATAATATAGTAAAAAAATAAAAACCAGTGCTGATTAAATACCACCAAAAGAAAGCGCTAAATGTCCCTAAAAAAATTATTTTGAGTACAGCATTGCATGATGGTATAAATGTCAGCCAAAATACTGCAGCGCTGAATATTGAAAAATGGCCAGGACAGTAGGGCTGCAGCTAACAATTATTTTCAGAAGCGATTTAGTTACACGATTATTAAAATCTCTCTCTCTCTCTCAGTTTTGGAGGTTTCAGAAAGAGCAAGTCAAATGATAAGTAACAATGTTTAAATATGTTTTAAAGTTCTGCTGAACATGGGAACATGTAACAAATATAAAACGGTTGTTATCCCAGTTTTGCTGCAAAAGTGGAAATACACTTTGAGGCTGTATTCACACGGGGAATTGAACACCTGCAATTAGATGTGTTTATATGCATTTAGAAACCTTTCCTAAAGGAATATGTATGCATCTAATGATTTTGGGTTCATTCACACGTTGTGATTAAATGCGTTCTCCTGCGGTCAGTTTAGCTGTGTTTAGGGAAAATAGAAGTGAAGTGCGTCCTAGGATCTGAATAGAGCTTCTGAACGCGGCTGAATGCATGTAAACGTGCCTAAACCCGGCTAAACCCTCTTTAGAGCAGGAACAAAAGAAAACACAAGGAAAAGGTGATCTGGGAGGCAAAAAGCTGGTCAGTGCCAGTGTGAATGAGGCCTGAGACTGGAGTTGAGAAACTCTGAAATAGAATATGTTTATTTGTATTGCAGATGTGGCTGTTCAATATAAGCATGGACTCCCTGTTATAACAGTCTCCCTGCCATCGCGGAATGAACGCTGCCAATTCACCATTAAACCCTTCACAACTACAGTGGGAAAGTTCTTAAAGGACATCCAAAATGAGGACCAAGGAATTGAGAAACTGGCTGCAATATCCACAGGTACAAGAGAATAAAAGAAAGGAATAATGGAAATAGTATTACTTGTTTTTATATAAGGTCCATCTTGCATTTCTCTCTGCACCCAGAGGTGGACAAAAGTAATTACAATGCTTTTACTTTACCTTCTAGAAAACCGTAATCTTTGAAACTAAATCCAATTTTAAAAGCTACTGACTGAGTTTGCCATGCAGTAGGCTAGAAAATGTCAAATCTCATTTAGTGAGAGCGCTGAATAAAGGGACCTGCTGCAGCTTTAGTTCCAGTTTAAGGATTAGCATATAATAACTCTCCATTAAGCCCTTATTGAATGGAGAGTTATTATATGCCTTTCCTTAAACTGGAACTAAAGCTGCAACAGGTCCCTTTACCTAGTGCTTTACATACTCTTCATTCACATTAGTCCCTGCCCTCGAGGAGTTTTCAATCTTACATTCTGATATGTGCACATATTAGGGCCAATTTAGACAGGAGCCAATTAACCTACAAACCAGCATGTCTTTGGATTGTGGGAGGAAACTTAGAGTACCTGGGGGAAACCCACACAAGCACAAGAAGAACATGCAAACTCCATGTCCTGACCAAATCTGGGTTTGAATAGGGTACCTTAGGGCTGCATGGCATAAGTGCTAACCCCTGAGCCACTGTGCTGCCTATTATGGCAGACTTACCCCATAGTTTTTCCTCCTCAAGCAGGTCTGCACTCCCCCCATCACTCAGCCCATCACTGGCATCTTTTTTTGGTCTTCTACTGGCCCAACATCATCTTTCTTTGACCACTGTGCAGCCACTGATGATGTAACCCCTGTTCATGTGTACTGGAGTTGCATCGTCCTGGGACCTGACTTCACTCTCTTCATCTTACAGATGCCCACAGTGTACACTGCACTGTACATGTGCCACAAGCAGTTTACAATTGAAAAAAATCTGCTACCAGACAGGTAAAGGTTCATTCATTGGCAGAAGGATTTCATAGTGCATTGGCAGATGGGACATACATTCTACATACATTCCAGAAAACGCACCTGCTAGCACATGTTTGATTAAGTTTAGTTTTGAATTTAGTGCAGTTACCCATCTAATATGTATAGTTCTGAAGAGCTCATTGACCATATATGATCCAAACCTTAGTTTTTATTTAGATTCAAAGGTGTGTTCTCCATGAATGGTTGACTTGGTAATTATCTTGCAGAGTTTGTAAGAGGCATGGTTGAGGAAGTACTTCCCTGTATAATATGAGATCATTATCTCTGCCATGTTTGTTTTTAATGTAAACCTTTCTTATCCTCAGATGGTGCCAAGTTCTCTTCTTCAACACTGATGGATGTCTTACTAAAGAATGATTTCCATCTTGTCATAAACAATTCAACATATCATGTCCAGTCTCTCCAGGCAGGTATGATATGAACATGACTTAGACATTCTAAAGTCTTCATAGAAATAAACAATACATCAAACAACAGGGGGGAGGTGAGATAGTTGATCAGTCCTTTGATTTACAGCAGAAAGTAAGCCCAGTTATGTACTTAATAAAAATCACTCAATTTAGTTTCAAAATACTGCTCATTGAACTGCCTAAAATCTGTCTTTATACTATCTTCAACCAGTCACTTGTATTAAAGAAGAGCTCTGGGCAGAGGGCAGACATTTTATTCTTCCAGTGGGGATAACCAAACTTTGCAATGGACAACTGGTTGTTTTTGCCTGGGGTCAAAAAAGTTATACTCGCCTGATATTCTGAGCTGGTCATCTCTTAGGCTGGTCCCTGGAGCCTCTCTCCCCCTCCACTGCTGCGGTCTAGGAATACGCAAGTCTTTATATCCAATACAGGGTATAGGAGGTGAGGACGCTGAGGAATATATCATCTCTGCTGGAGAGCAGGAGAGAGGCTGGAGGGAGCACTGCTGGCTCTGAGGGATCAGGTGAGTGTAATTTTTTTTTAAACTACTTCCTGTGTATCATAGATAAGCATGCACATAGAGGCTAGCATTGCACTACACTGCCATCGACGGCACAAATGACAAATTACATATCAGTATATGCTGTTGTATCTCCAACAGATGAAGTGGTGAGAAAAAGACTGAAACAATGTATTTTTGGGGCATCATCTGTTTGCCTGTTTTGTACATCTCTGCAGAATATGAGTCAAGCAAAATCTAAATGCTCATCTTTCTTTCAGACAAGCAGCCCATTCATGAGTCTGATGGATTTGATCCTGTAAAGTCTTTGATTCAGGACCTGTATTCAACATTGCACTTAGAAGAACTTCATATACACAAAGAACACGAGCTGCTACAGAGGATAGAAGCTATGAAAGAAGAGCTGCTGCCACTAGAGCAGGTGAGTTGAAATTTCCTCTTATTTGACTTGGGGTTGCCCAGTGGTGATCTGATCAAGACCTTGGCACATGTATGGGATTTTCATATGATTAGGATTTCATCACTTGTGTCCCTTGAAGGATGCAGATGTATCGCATGGGTGCTGAATGTTTGGATGGATCAGATTTTTCCTCTCATTTTAACCTTTTCTCAATCTTTTTACAGCAGCAGAATCCTTACATAAGTTTCGTGATTTGGGGAAACCCAGCTAAAATTATAGCTAAATCACTTGGTATAGAAATGTGATCTGTAAGTTGTAGTAAGAAACTGCCCCCTTACATTCATTGTCTGTAGGAAAGTTCCCCTTTACATTGGTGGTCAGTGTAGGGTATCCACCAATGCTCACTTGTCAAGGAACCCCTAGCAACCTCTAAAGCAGGGGTCTGAATATATCGGCCCGCGTGAAAACTCCGGCTCGCAAACCGGTACTATGTGGCCAGCAGACAAGTCATGCACACGGTCACGGACCGCGTGCCCGACTTGCGGGAGCAGCTACACTGTCTGCATCTCTGACGGATGCAGAGCTGCTCCGGCAGGAGCTCTGTCAGTTCTGAGCTCCGGCCGAATGATGGATCATTAGTAAGGTCTGCACTAGATAACCAGGAAACGATAAAGTGTCTCCTCCCTGCAAAGATGCAAGCATTTAAGGGGGCTTGGAAGGAAAGGAGGGAGGGGGGAAAGTTTATTATGTGTGCTGGGGGCTTGGGAGGG